ATGAACAGTAAACAGAGTGAATCCCACAGTCACGAAGACCTGCTGTTCATTGATGGAAACCGGTACCTAAGCCCCGGCTTTTGGTGCGGCGAACCACATAAGGTCCCGATAGGTTAGGCGTGGTATTGAACGCTGAAGACAGCGGCTAAACCACTGCGCCACTGCCACCCTTTTCCGGGATCTCATTTATGAACAAACCGTTTTCATAGTATAGTCCCACCATAATCGAAGGCCTCGCTAACGTCCAAAAATCTTTGTAAAGCATGACATTGCTCTAGATACTGTCGAAGGATGAAGTCTTGATCAATGCATCTACCTGCTTGATATTCCAAACCTTGGAAAACAGAACCACAGCTTCCCCCAACAAACTTCATCTCGCCATGTTCAAATACAGCTGGGGGAAGACCGTCGGATCCTGATGTTCTGTGACGTTCCGGGACTAGAACCTCCTTGACGATTTTCCCCTAAATAATTGGATCTGTCGAAACCCCACGGGATGCTTGCCTGAGTGACTATGGAAGGGGATGTTGAAAATGGTCAACTTTACTGTGCCTCAAAACGCTCCGCTTAGAGTGGAAAACAGCATCGTTGATTGTGAATCGACATGCTATGAATATCACGGATCGTTTCACTCAAACCTTGAGCCTTCTTGCAGATAATCCGGACGAGATGGAACAACTCACGGTACTTTTCTCGTGTTAGTAACACACTCCATCTGTGAAGCATTTTGTAACCACCCAGCTTCGCGGTATCCTCGTATTTTTACGTTCAATACACGTCTCGTTCCGAGTGATATCTTTTTCTTTTCGGAATGCGTGAAGAAGCTGCAGAGATTCAGTGAAACTCCAGAGTATCACGAACCGATGTTTCAAACAGCAACCAACTAGGCCAGTGAAATACGGGGCATTCTTTACGAGTGACCAGTGTTGATTGGTATTAACTGGTGTTAGTTGTGGCTTTCGGTTAGTGCGTTTTGATAGGCGGTCAGACAAGCTGGTAGTTCTTCCACCACTATCAGTTTCAGTTTAAAGAACCATGCAAGCATGCATTTCCGTGCGCCGACATTGTGGTACTAAGTGAAGATGTAGGTAAGTTGCAAGCTGTTCCGGATAGTTTTAGGGCTAGTATAGCCATGTTCGGTGTGCGTTTTGCACCTTCAAAGTGTAAAATGCTACTACAAGACTGGGTTAATCCAACACCCAGACTCACTCTAACTGGGAAAGTAATATATCATGTGTTGATAAAACCCACCAAAACATCGGTTTCTTGATGCAAATCAATGTGTGATCGAATTTGAGGGAAGGCTTGTATATGATTGGCAATCTTGTATTCAACGCCGCCATTTGTGGCTTGTAGCTATGTGGTTGATCTGTGTTCGTCGCTGACTGGAGGAGGTCAAACATCACGTGCTGCACCGGCAATTATATTGCCTAAAGTTCGTGGTAGCGGAGAATAGGCGATTATCATAACGTAAAATCAGTAGCTGTTCCCCGTTTTTCTAGCGGCAGATATCTTGCCTAGGAGACCCCATGCACTTCGTTGGAAGATATCCGACCTACTGTAGTATACATATCTGCTTAAAACACGATATCGGCATTACTCACTTTATGACTGAGATTGAGTGACTTTTGGTCAAATATATCTTTGATTGCCTCTGCATTACCNATTGTGTCTATCGAGCTTATTTTGCACGAACCTCCAATTAGCACCGTGCACAACCGGTTGTCGAGTGAGATCCACTCTAGCAGCTCAGTTTCGGCTCTTTCTCAGAGCCCTTTCAACGCCAGCAAGACCGTGTGCAGCATTAGGTCTCTGGAACGGCATTTGTAAAACTTGGTGGATTAGTTTGATGGGGACATCAATCGGACGAATCAGCTACAATCTTGAGTGATAGCCTCTTGGATAAAGCACATGTCTATGGGTAGGGTTTCGAGCGTGCCGATATTTCACCTGAACGTACGGGTCACATGCGCATTGAGGTTTGCACGTTAAATGTAGTTAGTATGAAGGCACGTCGAGGTCGAAGAAAAGCATCTGCTGTTGGAGGGAGATTCGGTGAAACTTCAAAGCTAGTCAAATTAGACGTGATATAACAGGGTTTAGATTCCCATCAAAAGCATTTTTTTAATACAATCAACTGAAGTTCCCGATGATTAATTATTTCTGGATGGGACGACGGCAAGATGTAGGGTGTTTAGAGACGTAAGAGTGTGTATACGATGAAAAATTGTTAGTGATCGTTGATTGTTGAAAATTCCTTGAATTCATGTTGAAGGAAATTCATAATTGTGTTCACTACGGGTTGTTTTACTGCTCTGTCACTCGGTCCAGAGTAGTACCCCCTGTGCAGCCAATAGCGAACTGTTAGGCAGCAGCGTTTTTCCAGGTGAGTCGGGGACGAGGTGCATTGTTCATTCACCTCTTCTGGGGAACCTCATCTAGTAAGTGAAACTTGATAACGGACAACGGTCATATTAAGTGGTGGACCACATTTGCCACGTTACAGCTCTGTTCACTGGTATATTTGGTACTTTGTGCGGAGTACTCTTGCCAAGCGGTAAACCCGCCCTATCCTCGGGCATTGCACCTGATCGTCCNCTATTGGCGGTCGGCCACCATTTAGTGACCATTTTCCTATCCGTTATCTGTGAAAGTGCCCATTATCATATGACTCTGATCTTGAGGGTGTACTTTAGTTTCTTTTTTCTATCCTTACATGCCTTTAAAGGCTACTCCGGGTATCGCATTTTCTAAATACTTGTTATTGCTACACCTCATGGAAATTCTGTTTATTCTCACATGGACGGGCAATCCGAATTGTGTCCAGAGTTGCTTTTATTAGCAATTCAAAAATGAGTGATTAACATTGTTGTTGCATTCTCATCCTCTTCTAGGCGGATGTGATGGCTTTGTCTACATTTGGGATGGCTTTAATCGCAAACGGTTGGCGCAGTTATCGAAATACCCGGCCAGTATTTCCAGTTTGACCTTCTCCGAGGACGGCCAACTGCTAGCCATCGCATCGTCCTACATGTACGAGCGTGGTCCAATTGATAACGAGCCCGAGCCAACCATCTACATTCGAAGCGTGGCGGAGAATGAAGTAAAACCAAAGCATTTGACTTCTGGAGCGAACCCGTCATCGACAGCAACAGCTACTGGTGGCTCAGCTTCCTCGTTGGCATCGAAAGCTTAGTTGTCGATGCACTTCACAGTTTAAAACCTTTTGCTGTGCTTTCCGCTTACACCGTACCCCATTTGTTTGAGCCATCTCTCGCCCCCGGTACATGTACAGATTGAGAGGTGTATTAAAGTATTCAAATACAATTTTGTACTGTTCATCAGACTCATTGATTTGGACTTAGTTTTCAGAGGTAGAGGTCGTCCGATTATGTATGTAAACATCTTTTCTCTAAAATCTCGTGTTTGGTGTGCACCCGGTGGATGGCAAGAATAACACACAGTTAAGTGAAAACATGTTATTCCCTCAAACGTACCGATAATTCAACCCAAATGCGCTCGCATGTTTGAAATAAAAACGACTTAGCAAGCTAAAGTTTTGTTCCAACTCATCCATCTTTTCAGTTGGCCAGGCCTCGTGGAAGGTGGCCTCGAAATAAATAGAGGTGGGAGGCCTTGCTGAAGGAACGGCAACAGGATATTGACGACCGTAGTCAAATCTATGCTAGAAAAGACGAAGAGAGTAGAAGCGAATGCTTCAAACAACCAATACCCGCACATTAGCGTACTTGTGGAACCGGTGGGCCCGAAGCAGCTAAAACTGTCGAGCTGTTTACGCGGTTGGTCTGGGGTTACTTCAAGTTGTCTCCGTTGGGGCAAGCTTTTAGAAATAGGTTATCGGCATTACAAAGAAGTCTGCTTTACTGCGTCATATATA